ACTTTACGGCTCTAATATAATTATGTAGAAAATAAAGTATTTTCATGAAATTCAATTTGAAATCATGTGAAAAGTAATCCCGATACCTATATTCAATTTAATATTATTTTAAAGAAGAGGTCAAGAACATACAAATTACCGTTTTCTGAGAGACTGTAGGCAATCTGGATACATTTCCATTGTCTGTTATGGAAAAAAACTGCCTTATTCATGACTGGTTTTCTTGATTTTTCATTGAAAATGACAGTTTAAAATATGATTTTTCGTCTTGTTTACCTACAAATTATGCCCCGAAACACCTTATTTGACCAAGCTAAAATTATAAAGCATCATTAAAGGAATTTATTTCTCAAATTTGAGAAATCTGTAGGCACCTTTCGTTTACTAGATCTTGACCTTAAATGCCACTATTCATCAGGAGTTGTGAAGCGTAGTGTTTATCGTGTTAGTCTCGCGGGAAAATGATACTCGGGATTTTTATTGCTAACTTGAGTTCGAACCCCACGAATACCATATTATATTTCTAATAACAGAATAGCTTTTGCCCAGAGTTTTCCTCAGAAAAGTTTTGTTTACCATAATATTTCAATAAAGAGAACTTCATTCTAAATCCTAAATTCACCAATTGAATATAATTATCATATATCTGAAGATATAAGCATTCTGCACGCCATGTTCACCCATCTCCTTTTGCTGTAGTACATGTATATATATAAATAACTACTTGTGTGATTGAGAGCTTCAACACTTTCGGAGTAACTGCGGATTGCACAAACGTCTTATTTTATGCAATATCAAACAAAGACATGCAGATAAACATATACTGGGTTAATCTTTTGTTATATCCCCCCATCATGAGGAGACATATTTGCATGGATCTTTGGTATAGTAGGTGATCAGGAATTGCTGAAGATGATAGGGGTAAATTATCTTTAAGGTTATTTAATTCTTTATTCAGTCTTTTATGGCCAACGACTCAAAGTACAACAATTAAACCTGAAGTCCATGTAGTTTGACTTTTTTACTTATAAAGATGGACCACAGGTACTTACGGACAGACCCCCCCCCCTCCCCCCCCCCCATGTAAATAACGCCTGAGCATGTTGGACTTTTTTCACAAATTGTATGTATCAGACTAATTTATCAAGTATACAATAGGAAAAAAATCGTACCAAAAATTCCTGACTACCAGAAGATGCTTATGATTTCTTATGCATAGTCGGGAATTTTTTTGTATGGAACGATTGATTTCGGTTTTCTCAAGACATTTCCTCTGGTATACATGATGAATAAGTTTGATATATATAAATTGAGAACAAAAAATCCAGCAAGCTCGGAGTTGTACATGGGGGATGGGGGAGGGGTCCTACACAAGTGCCTGTCCATTGTAATGGACCAGGAAAGTTGCATCTGGCCTTGTTAATTTTTAAAGTTTTACATTTATATCTGTGTAACAAATAATTACCATTTACAATATTTAGGTGTCTTTCTTGTTCTGAGTTTTAAAAAAGTTTTGAATTTATAATTTAAGTAGGTTTACTGAAAGGAAGTTGTTGAAAAATTAATTTGTTCTGTATATATTATCTTAATTTTACTCTTAAGAAACTCTTTATAACAATGCAATGTGACTCACAGATTGGTTTAACATAAAACATAATAAAAGCTATATATACGTAATGTTCAATATTTTTACTTCAGTAGCTAAATTTCCTCGAGTCCGATTATCGCCATTCATATTTCAGAAGTCAAGAGTGGATACCTTTGTAAAATTTTAGACAATAATAAAGAAGACGACACTTTTTTGTAGTGATACAAATATATATACAGTACTGGAAATCTAAACAGTAGGTTTAGGTGTGCTATTTTCCTACTGTAATACTCTTTTACAAAATTTTGAATATATAGTTCCAAGACATTTAGCAATTTCAAAGACTTCAAATTCGTATGCTACAATTAAATTATATTTAGAAGAAAATAAACTTAAAAATAGAATATAAAGGATATAAAATTCTGTTCCTATGTTGTATTATACATATTTATAAATTAATACAATAAAAATATGTACACAGCACAGCTTTTTTCGAAAATAAAATTATAAAAGAGACGCAAAAACTTTACAATCTCAATTTCCTACCCAATGAAATTTTTTTTCTGTTGTTTTTTAAGAATACAACCTCTTCTTAAAATTATGTTTTGATTTATTTTGATTTGACATTTCTTCTAAGCCTTTAGCAAAACTTTCCTACCACAAAGTCAAAGCACGAATAATTGAGGACGAAAAACACTCTTTAGTAATAATCGTTCGATAAAAAATTTAGTCCTGTTCCGGACTTTTATCTGTTATTTTGTTTATATGAGGTAGCTGCAAAATTTGCAACACAATCAGCAGATCACAATTGAATAATCTTTGATATACACGTGCTTTCCTCAAAATAACATTTCTTCAAATATGAGAATTCAGTTGGCTGCATATAATAATAAAAGCTTTAGTCAACAAACTTCTCCTGGCAATTATTACATGTAAAAATGTACAAGAATCTGATCTGATTCTGAGAACAAAATGTCAACCACTAAAACAGGGATAAGAATTGATTCAAATGAAGAAGTAACATCCAGTTTCGTCAAGGTATACATTAGTAGATTATATGGATTATGACTTAAGATTGGAGAAATATATTATCTATCTATCTATCTATCTATCTATCTATCTATCTATCTATCTATCTATCTATCTATCTATCTATCTATCTATCTATCTATCTATATATATATATAGAGAGAGAGAGAGAGAGGATAGTCAATGTTTTGTAGATGGATATGGAATTTATTTCACGAGTGGGACAGGATTTTTTGATATTTTCACGAGTGCGAAGCACGATTGAAAATATCAAAAAATCCTGTCTCACGAGTGAAATAAATTCCATATTCATCTACAAAACATTGAATTTTCTGTTTATTACATTTTCTTTGATTTTCCCTTTGCCTCTGTCTTTTCTTAACACAGTGTCATAGGCTTGACGTCATAGTTGAGCGGTTGAGACGTCGATCATAGCTTAGCAGTTTTGTGATTGAAAACATTACATAGCATGGATTTTAGCAACATATTTGGGAAGAAATTTGCAGTTTTAGCTCTATCAAGATGCTTAGTTACTATCTCTATCTTATGACAGGCCAGAAATTATTTTTTACTTACTTTGATATCCTTTCACACTGTGAGAGAATATTTTGGTATCCTTTCATACTGTGAGAGAATATCACTTTTATTCAATAAATAAATCACAGTATTTCACTGTTGAAAATGTAATAAATATATATATATATTAAGGGGTCCGACTGGGGTTTCCATTGCACAATACTTCGTGCATCATAGTAAAATGAAGCGTATTTGCTGTTTTAAAGCAACTATTTTCACAAAATTTAACAAAATAAAGAAATCACAGGTTAAAAAAATCTAATTACAATTTTATATATAACTGATTTTTAAAACGATTTTTTCAACCGAAAGGTAGATTGACGTCGTAATAGTGTGTTTGTGACATTATGTAAAACTGAAGTTCTTTAAGAGGAGGTAATAAAAATGTTATAAAAGAAAAAGTATAAAATATACTAGGCTCTTGAAATTTAAAACATAAAAATTAGAAAATCTCAATTATTTTTGTGATTTTTCTTGTATAAATCCTTTGTCATTTCTAAAGTTCTATGGTCGATACAATGACTTTGTCAGCAAAAACAATTTATCATTAAGTCAAATCTGACTGACGTTTTTCAAACTAATTGTTAGACCATTATTTATACACTGAATTGTCGACGGATTTATCCGTTATTTCCCGATCATGACAAGGAGCACACGGCGGGAGTGACCGGTCGGCAGGGGATGCTCACTGCTCCATGGCACCTGATCCCACCTCTGATGTCTTAGAGGTCCGTGTTTGCTCTACTTTAAAATTTGTATTGTTTAATGGACATTTGAGCTTGAATACTGTTCCTTATCTCCATATATTTCATTTGTATCTGTCATCTTTTGTAGTACTCCATCAAAACAGGAAAGTTTCATTAATTTTGACATTTTGAGACGCCCCCTCTAGAAACCAGACAGTAGAATTTTGTGTTTCTTACATAAAATGTACAATACAATTGTTATGCCTAGGGTATTAGATGAATACTAAGAACTTCTGTAAATATATTTTCCTTTAAAGTTAAGAATGACATTTCTCTATATTTATTTCTGGTTTATTATTCACTTTTACTGTATCATGTACAAATAAAAATTTTATACCAATTATATAAAACAAATTACCCATTTCTAGAATGACCTTACAAAGTTTAACAAAAAATACTTTAAAAAATAAAAATGAAAAAATAAATAAAAATATAAAGAACATAATAAAGATATATGACACTGCATCATTAACAGTCTTGTAAGTTATATGTTTATCAAAGATTCAATGATTGTGTTTGAACATACATGTCGTTACTTTTAAAGATTGTTAAAAACTCTGTTTTTTTCTCTCATCTGAACATTACAATCTCTTAATTAGTAAAATAAGTTTTATTTTCTGCTAACTCATCAACAATTGTAAAAAAAAAAAAAAAAAAAAAAAAACAGTTAAAAACTAATACATCCGTATTTTTTGACATGTCACTTTTCAAACGAATCTCTTTGTTTCCTGTATATCATTGTGAACGTGTTAAAATATCAAACCTATTATTCTCTATCCATTGAAGGTTAACTTAATTTAGAAAAAAAAATCAATTTTAGTTCAGTTTCGTTAAACAATCTATTTAGAATTTTCTTGGAAAGTTCATATTTATACAATGAATAAATCTGACATATACTGTATATAATGTACACTAGATATAAGTATTTGATTGAAAATCCAATACACTACCTAAAATAAAACTTTTATTTAAAATAAAATCCAAGGGATAGATACTAAAGTTGTTTCATAATACAAATATAGCTAGTGTATATAATGTAAATAAATAAATAAAAATAAAGACTAGATTTTAAGTTTTCTGTCAAAATTTCGTAAAATCCATTTCTTAAAAATTCTAGCCCAACTTGAAAACCAGTCAGAGTCTATGATACGACAGCCTTGTCTTTGATTGAGCTCTTTCCACATGCGGACCATTTCATCTGGATCGAAATGATGTCCCGTGACCATATCAATGTAATGCAGCCCACATGGACCTGGTTCTCTGTATTTACAAGTAAATCCTTCATGCTTTATAACTTTAGCTTTGATGAATTCACGACATAGTCCAGTAACAAAGACGTCTTCAATATCTAAGAACGGGATAATCTGCGAGGCTTGTAATAATTTTGGTACTATTTCACCGGAAATGATGTAGGCTGTTCCAGAGACATATGGAGGAAACTCTTTTTTGTTATACTTATGTAGTGAAACATACCACTTCTTTGAAGGATTTCGCACAGGAATTTTGTTAGTGTCTGCACATCCAATAATAGAATTTCTTGGATTTTCCATTTTGAGGTATTTTAATAATAAATTAATATTAAGAAACATATCATCATCCACCTTTAATAGATATTTTACATGAAAACAAAAACGAGTAGCCCAATGCAGGAGGGCAATGGATTTGTTTGTTAAAGACAGGTATGACTCTACAATGTCCGATACAATTATGTCCTGAAAAAGAAGTCTTTCATTTTCTACGAGAGTTTTGAGAATATTCTTATCTTCATCCTTCTTTCCAAGGAGAAACAAAAGTTAGACAAAACTTTCTGATCGTGCAATCATTCCCCAGGTATTACGAATGGCCATCCGCCTGTAAATGCTTGAAAATTCAGATGGCACAATTATTAATAAGAACACTGAAGTTCCGTTATCAGTACACGAAATAGGATGATGAGACTGAGACCCAAGACCTTCTCGTTCGGGAAAGGAAAGTATATTTCATCATGGATTATTAGAAAGAACTCTAAATCAAATATAATTATTGTAGAGAGAAAAATAAGAATCTTTCCTCTTTTTATTTTTCTGCAACGATTTGTTCTTCTTCTTTGGCACTGCATCTGATAAATATATATATTAAGTAAACAAAAATTAAGACTCATTGTACATGTTTGTCTATCATAGTAAGGGAAGTTGACGATAGAAAAGTTGAAGTCATCACGTTTATCATAAAGCTTTGTAGTTAGGTTTCCATTATAACGTCTTTCTCTAGTAAAATATCAAAAACACTGGGATATATCAAGTCGATATATGAACTGGAAGAAACTATTGTTAATTGATAATACGTCGTCGATATATCTAAAGTCGAGTTGAAGGCCAGATCAAGTGTCTTCTTCTTCTCATGTATAAGGTTTTGAATAAATTCTGAATACAAAAATAAATCTGCTAATAACAAGACGAAATTTTTACCCATGGAAATTCCAACAGATTGTCGGAAGACCTGGACCCAGGATCATGAAACAACTTTAGCTTAAGTCAAAATTTTTATGTTGTGCTAAAATGTTGTAGAAGTCAAGCAGACCAAATTTTAACTAATTTTCAATATTGCTTCACAAAATAGTTGTTATCTGCAAATTTAGAGGATTAATTCAATAATTATTAAACATTTTAAAGGCAATAGAAAATTTGACTTAAGTCTAAGTCTATTTCATGATCCTGGGGCCTGGTCTCCAAAAACTACATAGATATTGTCAATCAGAAACTCAAGCATCTTTTTTAATATCTACTTCAGAGTACTTGTGTGTACAATCAGAGTGTTTTTTAACAAAATAATTTTGCTAATGACCAATAAGAAGATAAGTAAATTTACAACTTCCAATTTCATTAAAAACGGAGCTGTCTATGATGTCAGAAAGTCTGAACTTTAATTTATCATGGGGAATGGCTGTATAAAGCGTTGAAAAGTCGTACGTTTTGATGTTTAAATTTTGGTTAAATTTTGTGATTTCAAACTAAAAGTTCCTTGGAGTTCTTAAGTAATATAAGTATACACATTTGCTTTACACCATTTCTCGAATATATTATTGTACAGTATCCTGAAGTTTCTCCTTCAATGCTGTTAATATTTTGGTGAGGAGTAAAGAAAGAGGGTTAGTAGAACATTTATTGGAACCAGCTATGTATCTTTGTAAGGATTTTTATGAAGATAGGAATCTAGTATAGATATGGTTATTCAAATTTATTTTGATTGTTGGGAATATTGAAAATATTAAAAATGACACATGATTTTGAAGAATTTCCTCCTTAGAAAGGAAGTGGTGGGTATAGGTTGGATTACCGCTTGCAGAACTAAATCTCAGTTCTTCTAAAATACAATTAAAATAATATGCCTTACAAAAAAGACAATGTTGTTACCTGCTTTGTCAGCTGGTACCAGTACATACTGATCGTGTATTCTTTCTAATTCTTTTTTCACTTCTGAATTATTGAAGATAGTAGGATATAGATTTTTCTATTTCATATTGCCCCTTACTCACTTAATGCGAGATTTTAACATCCATCTGATACTTTTTATGCATTCTGATAAAGTTTCAAGGTTTTTTTTTCATGTTTGGCCCATCACCTGCTGTAATCTTCCACAGAATTCATAAAAAATGAAATTTTGGCGCCAGTTGAAAAGGGTTCCCTAAATTTTGGCCCTTTTAAAATAAGTTATTTAAGGTCTTCATTATTAACGACATATAAGTCACTAGTAATGACGTGTCCAGCAGGACTGAATTTGTAGGGTGATGAAGAACATGAACACGTATTAGCAAAATGTTTCAGATGTTCGATATCTAGGCACTGTAGAGGTCTTTTGTAATTAATAAGTTTGGAAGCAGTGCTCGATGTAAAGTAAAAAAAAAATTGCTAAAGTGATAAAAGTTCCATAGTATTAAGTAAATCAAGATATGTATTGTAACACAAAAGATAATTTACTGAAATCATCTGTAGTCCTGCTTAATAAACAAAATTAAGTTTCGTTGAAAGTTTGCATAAGACTTCACTCTATGATAAACACGTGCATAAGAGGTCGTAGCGCCCCATATCTTCTTAATTTGCTCAGAAATTTTCATCTAGGTTAATCATTGAAACTTAATTATTATTTTAACTTTCTTAGTCTTTCTTTCTAATTCCAACCTTCGTAATTTAACTTTCATTTTCTACTGAAAATAAAAAATAAGTATACTGAAAAATTGTAAAAAAAAAAAATAAATAAATAAAGTTAGCACAGAATTAGAAAGTTTGTAAAAATATTAAAATAAAATGTAATTGAGAAATTAAACTAAAACAAGAAGTTAGATTTACAACAATAATAAAGGTATTAATTTAGAATGGGAAAAACAAGAAGTTGGAACAAAATTATGAATATTAAAATAATGTAAGAATAAGAAATTAAAATTAGAAATAAAAATATTAAAAGAGAATTGAAAAAAACAACAACAAGAAATTGAAATAAAAATAAGAACTTTAAATAAAGATTTTAAAAGAGAATTGTGGCACCAAAATTACTCCATAACTTTGGACTGGAAAAAGATAATACTATGGATGATCCACCCCATTTAAAGTGATAGCTCACATTTAATATAGTTTTCATTTTGTTCAGTGATGACTAAAGAATAACCTGAAAAAATTCTATTATTTATTTAGCATTTATATTCATACATTTATCTACTCCATTACCCTTATGGCCTAAAGTGTATTTGAGAATGTTGGTTGTAGATCCCAGATGCCTGACGTAGATTTTTAGAAATGATTTTACACGGTTATATTTTGCAAATTTGCATTAAAAAAAAATCAACTAAAATTTACATCTATGATGCTTTTACCTCCTTATATGACACCTTATGTCTGCATAAATTCTTCTGAACATACAGAGAAAAATGAAAGTTTTACACTCTGTTTTTTCCCATATTTTTTGCCATACATACATACCTGGTATGTATATAACAAAATTCTTCAAAGAATGGAAAATCAATTTATTATTCATAATATAGAAATCATGCTTTGTATACTCCAATTAATTTAGGGCTGTGCTTTGAATTCCATCCCAATTATTTATTTTTTGACAACACCAATTTAGGTTTTAAAAAATGGAACCTTTGGATTGACCCCAATTAACGGAAAAATTTACTCACATTTCTGTCTAATTATGCAATTTTACAGGTAAAATGCATCAAAATGAAATATTTGTTTCAAGGAGAGGGAAAAGAGATACATTGCACGCCATTCTTTGATAATTCAATCGGTTCCTTTGCTGATCAAGTTTGCCTCATCAACATTCAACTAAATTTGTCAGAGAGAGCATGTTACTTGTTTACGTCTGACTGATTCTGTATATCATATAGTAACCTTACCATTAATTGATCAAACAGTGTTTTGAAACTCTCCATATCTGTGTTCCAATGACATACTAGTCCTGGATTTCAACATGTGCACAATTGGCTGTGATAAGGAAAAAATGGTGATAACATGTGCAAGTGTGCAGGGGACTGCATATAAAATCAATAAAGTGCGATAAAAGCTCTTGCTTATTAAATTTTTTTTATACCTGCACATTCGGAAGTTCAGAAAACTATTCAAATCTGATCCAGGGTTTCAAAGAACCTAAAAATGAACCGAGTGACTTGAACTCACCCTAATTATATAATTGTGGCAACATAGAAACTCTCTCTTTATAGCCTGGTAGATCAAGGTTTAGTGGTTGAATTTACAAAACTTTCTGTTGATTTTTAATATAATGTTAATAGGGTTTCATCTCTTCACAAATGAAAATACCTGAGAAGTTTCACAGCTTTACTTTGTCAAAAATATACTATAAATTGCTTGGGTACATATCAGTATAGAGAAAAATGAAACGTCCTATGGATTCGTGATACGTCAGCAAATCAATCTTAAAAGCGCGCTCTTTGAAACAAAATTACTTTATTTTAACAAATATATGGACGAACATCTATGCTGAATTTAATAGACTAGATTATAACTATTATAAATTACTGTAATGAATTAAATAAGTGGTTTTTCAAGACCATGCACCAACCGAAATAGGAATACCAAACTGTCATGCTATGTATTGTAAAAAAAATCCTTTCCAAAAACCAGCAGCTGACTGTCGTGGATGTGCAAGGATACTGGGTTTTAATCTTGTCTAATTCATGTAATAAATTGAGCTGTAATTTTGTAATTGAAAAATTGGAGTGTCAAAACATTTTTTGAATGAATTTCCCCTGGAGAAGTCAAATATGCAGCAACTGACCCTCCCTTAAAATATATTATACAAGCGTTTGAAGGTATTTAATATTTTGACATTTATGTTGTAACTATATATACGATTTCCCCTCTCGATCGGCAGAAAGTTCGTTATTTCATGTAGGTAAGTAGTTTTGGGTATAGATTTACATGTATGTACTTTCTAGAATCCTTCAGGATTGAATACTGTTTAGTAGATACTTCGAAGAATAAAAAAAAATAATCTTACACACAAATTTAACGGTATTTATTACATAACATTTTGGATACCTTAAATTCTATAT